GCCACCGGCAGCCCGGTAGCCACCTCACCCAGTGCAGTCCCAGTCAGGGAGAGACCTCTAGTGCTCCTTCAGGAGATGAAAAACCACCAGCCCCATTCTCCCCCAGCAAGGGAGGTTTTACAGTTGCTGTTCGCCCATTCAGCCTCTTCACCGGTGACGTGACAGCAGGGCTTGATCCAGCATCGCTGCCTGATGAGGTCTTCTCCAACATACAGCCATGCACACAGAGTCCCATCTCGCATCATCGATGGGTTTCCCTCCCCACAGCTGTCCTCCTGGGATCCCACCACCCGGCCTTTGCTCTCCACCCTGGGCAAGCTGAGCCAGCACTCGGTGACCTCAACGGAGATACACCCGAGGTTCAGGAGGCTCAGACTCTACACCCACAGCCCTCCCTGTGGCATCGGAGGAGCCTTCTTACCCAGGGCAGGAATTACAGGAAAGGGAAAGGTCCCAGCAGAGGCTGAGCCTGGACTTAAAACATCCAGAAAGCAAACAGGAGGGGACCTGTGCTGGGCTGTGCCTGGCTATGAACCCTCTTTGCCTCCATCTGCCCCTCCCAGAAACGCAGTCTCTAATCCTCCCTTTGCAGCGTGGGCGTGTGATAACGGGCTGAGTGAGGGAAAGCACAAACCTGCTCCCCTGCAGCAGCAATCCCAGAGCTCCCAAGCCGCACCAAGGGCCAAAGCAGCAGCTCTGGGCAATCCTGAGGCAGATAAGCTGCTGCTACACCTGCACCAGCCCTGGGACATGTAGTGAGCGAGAACAGCCCCATTCCAGCTCAGCCTTCAAAGACAGCACACAGCTCCTCGCTTGGCCTGCGCAGGGAAAGGGGAAAATGGTCCTTTCTACCCAAAAGCACCTAAGCCCATGAAACTGAAGGCCACCAAGGTCCTGTGTAAGCAATGTCCACAAAGCACAGTTATACCCACTCCAGTAGAGTGTTCTACAGCCTTTTGAAAAGAGGAACCACAAGCAACTTTTTCTCAGTTTTTATTTTTACTATTATTGTGTAAGAAACGCAGCAAGTTCCTCAGCCGTTACTGTGATTCTCATACCCATTTGTGATCCAACCACCAGAGTCTGCAAGTGGATCCTTCCAGTGCTGAGCGTGTAGTACTGGGCAAACAGGAGGTGGACAGGAACCTGAGTAGGCATAAATCCCTGTTTGCTTTCCACAGAGCACCAGAATTTTAATCACCAAAAATCGGCATCAATCTTCCCAAGGAATAAGAGTGGTTAGAAGTGGGGAATTAGGAGACAACCCACTTTTTCCTTCCCTTCCAGCAGTGGAGCAGGAGAAGCATTTCCTTTCACCGTGCCTTGCACCCCAGCACACAGACGTGCCTCACCCAGAACTCCACTGGGGTTTCAGGAGAAGAAACTCCCATCGTCTCCAACATCCTGAAACAAGAAGCAGAGGATAAGTCTCACTCTGCCCAGCAATCTCGCACCTGACGTGGGGCAACATCCACAACCAGGGATAGGTCTCATCCCCCCAAAGCACAGAGGCCTTGATAGCAGATGCTTCCAACTCACACACAAGGGTTGTTCTGGTCAGTCAATAAATTCACAGACACAGGGTTGCATTCTTATGGGTCAAAATAGTTTGACAGTTACATCTTCACCAATATTTTTCCCGCCCTCTGCTAATCAAGAGCAAGGCAAAGACACTCAAGACACCTCTGACATGCTACTTCCACAGACATATCAGTGTAAGAGCCTCAATTAACTAGATGGACTTAAATTTTAAAGCAAGCTGACTCAACCTGAGGTCAGTCCTGCTGTGAGCAGCTAAGGATCTGCTGTTTGACAAGTATCTACCCACACCTGGGGGAAGGAGGGAGCCCATCACCACACAACTCACATCTATTTCTGAACGGGTCTCCACAGCCTCAGTCTCTTATGCACTGAGTAAGGCAGATCCTCCATGTCCTGCTTGTTTTCCCAAGTAGTTTTCTCACCTCTTTTCAGTCTCTTGGAGGAGGGATTTTGCAGCTTCGGGGTCGTTCTTCTTAAACGCTTGATACGGAGATGTAGACTCCAAGTAACCAACCACATCAGCAACCGTCATGGGAATTTTGTCAAAAATATCAGTGATTCTAGAAGTGAGATGGGGAAGAAAGGAGCATTTGCAAGTTAAGTCTCAACAGCAGTGAAATGAGGACAACAGCTGAGGTGGTGGTGAATAAAATACCCAACATCAAAGGTCAGACAAACAGAAACAAGATCCAGCTGGGGCATTTAGTGGGTCAGCAGCTCCAACTGATGCACTACTGGAGAGGCAGAGATGGTCCCAGGGACCATCTACCACAGTCTGTGACTTGAACAGCCCTTTTGATACAGGTCAACCAGCAAAGCCCGTTCCTCTCCAGCAGCTGCAACACCACCACCAGCTCATCCTTTTGCCTGCAGAGTCACCTCCTGCTTTGTGCACCGGTGGGGAAGCAGGTAATGACTCCCTGGAGGTCTGGTGCAGTTGGTTTTTTTTCATTTCTATCCACTAAGTGACCTGTCCAGAAGCCTCAAATTATCACAAACCACCGCCAACAAAAAAAAAAACAAACAAAAAAAACAAACCACAACCAAAACTCTAAGCCAATTCTGCCTGGACCAGGAAGGGTCCTTGCAGCCCTTTAGATGACGCTTGCTGGCCCAGCACAGAGTCACGTTAAATCTAATGGGGGTGGAAACACGGCCACGTGGCTCTGCCTCAATGCAAAGGCATTTGCTAAAACCCAGCAGCTACTGCTCCAGCAACTCCACCCCCGCTGTGTCCTTGCTGGTCTGGTGGCAGAGGAGGTGAAGAGCTATTGGTGCCACACTGAGGGGTTTCTGCTCACCTTTTCTTGTCCGGGAACGGCACGGCCTCAAAGATTTCTTTGTAGTCTTCCCGGACATGTTTTATTTTATTATGCGAGTATTTTAAAAGCACATCCCAGGACTGTAAAGACAGTGCATTAAATAACAAACACAAAACCACTTGAAGCTCTCAGCTTCCACTTAACTCAGGTTTGCTTGGCCCTAGATCCAATGCATTCATACATGTACTTTTTAAATACTTCTTGTATTAAACTACAGCAAAATCTTGCTTAGTGTCAATCACTTAAGGATCTTAACTGCATTACAGAGATAAGGATTCTGTCCTCTTCCTCACACTGCTCTTATTCATAGCAGAAAGTCTCCTATTCATTTATTTTATTGTTAAAATACTCTGTCAAGAAATATCACTAAAAAAACCAACCTCTTATCCAAACGGTTTCTGCTTCCGATTCTTTTCATTGTGATGAGGGCAACAGAAAAAAAACCTTTTGACTGCACCAGCCCCTTAGGTCTGCTCCACACTCCTCCTCACCCCACCACTCTGCCCTACTAATCCCAACGTCCCTCTTCTCACCCAGCCAGCCCTCACACTGCATGGGAGCCACCATATCACATCTCACATTTAACCATCCCTCTGCCCCACCCCACGATAGAAGCCCTCCAGTAATTCGCTCCAAGCCCATCTCTTTTTTCCCTCTGCATCCAAGTACTACACATTTCCCCTTGCCTAGATCAGGAGGGGGAACCCTCTAGTTTCATCACCTCACCTCCCTGAAGATTTTGGTCAGCTTTTCGGTGCAGTTTCCATAGTGCAGGCTCATGTCTACGGTGTAGGTGCTGAGGACCAGGCAACCACCCGGCTTAAGCACCCGGTTTGCTTCTCTCATGAACTTCTCGATGTCAAACCAGTGTGCAGCTGTGAATGAAGTCAGGAGGTCCACAGAGGCATCCTCAACTGGCAGCTCCTCCGCAGGGCACACGCTGGAAGGGGGAGAAAAAAAAAAAAAAAAAGGCAGCGTGTAATACAGGAATTAAAGAGTAGGACGTGTAGTCAGTGGATATTTTTTTGAGTCAATCTGTTGGGATGCAAGACCACTCTAAGTCTAGGATAATGCCTGTTCCCATCAGGAACCCCATCAGATGGGACTTTGGTGCCCGCTGGTTCTTACAACAATCACATTCACAAGACACCACCTCCATGCAAAGATCAAAATTTCTGCCCAGATTTTGCTGCCCTAACACTCACAGGTAGGAGACACTGGGTGGGGAGAGGGCATCCCTGGCCTCCTGGATCTGTGCTTCGCTGATGTCTGTTCCCACCACCTTCTTGAAGTGCTCCGCAAGGAAGCGGGTGCCTTGTCCCGACCCGCAGCCAACGTCCACCACGAGCTCAGCAGGGCTTGCCTGCGGGGAGGAGCAGATGCATCTCAGCAGGCGGCCACCTTATTTCTGTGCTTTTACCCCATTCCTTTCCCTGGTGCCCACAGAGGAACAGCCTCAGCACAGCACAATCCCAGAAAAGCTCTTCTGTGCTCTTCACATCTTCCTTTGAGCCCTGCTGTCCTCTTCCTCGTGGCACCAAGGTGACACTCCCAGCAGAGCAAACACCACTCTACTACCCACAAATACTACCACCTTGTTTTATCCTGCAGCCTGGCCGTACCCCACTCACCTTTTCCTGCAGGTAGGAGAGAATGGTTTGCTTCAGCTCTTTGCCCGGCGCGAACCTGTATTTCTGGTAGACGGCCGCGTGCCCTCTCCCCTCAAACATCTGGGTGGCCATGCTTGGGTGACCTGGCACCTGGGAGAAGGCAGCAAGCCAGGTCTGTCACCACAGGATCAAACTCCTCCTTAGTGTGTGGCCACAGGCACTGAAGTCTCCAGCTCCTGGCAGGGGCCCCAGAGAGGACTTTGCCCATGAGGCTCCACGGAGGGAGCACGAACCCGCTCGCCAAGCAGCCCTCCGCCCACAGGTGCAAGCTAATCACAGAAACTAGCTAGCGGCATCTAACGCAGAAAAGCTCTCTAGGGTTGTTTTTTTTTTTAAAACTCTTCTTCTCCTTACTCCCTGGCCTTCCCACTCACCTGGGTGTCTCCTGACATAAATCATTATAGCCGAGAGTTTGAGAAGAACTGAGCAGAGCATCAGAAAAAGCAACAGCATAAAAGTTTGGGGGGGTTGTTGCTTTTTTTTTATTTTTTAAAGGAAAACCTTGTTTCAGCATTAGTAACACAATCACAGCAACTCCACCCTGTGCTTTCTGAACTAGCTGATATTTCTCTTTTGTCCATTCCTGACCCAGAAAGGCTCAAAAGCTCTTTCAGACCCGTCACTCAGCACCACGCACAGAGACAGGGCTGGCCTCCCGACCAGGTCTGCCCCGCA